ATATATATATATATATATATATATATAGACTTCTTCACTTGTTTTTCTATTTAGTTTTTTTTAATGCGATTTCCAAAAAATTTAAATTTCTCACACTGTAGAAAAAAACACTTCTGACATGTAAGTAAATTGATGAAATCCTTAATAAAAACAGCAGTATCACAGACAACTATAGATGAATACAAAAGAAAATCATCGAACAATCTAAATACAATTCAAGCAGCAGAAGAAGGCAGACTCCAAGAGACTTCAAACAGAAATTCTGATGATATCGAATCTGATTCATGTTTAGCACTAAACTATACCGTTGGAAAACCACTGGAGGTACAAATATTAATTTTAAAATCACAATTTTTCTATTTTTTCATTATGCTCTTAATTGAAAAATTTGAAATTTAATTAAAATGTATTAGTAAAGATATAAGTTGTAATAAAAATAATTATGAAATTAATTAATAGCTTAATAACTTACAAACGATGAATTTATGAGAGTTGTAATTTAATTAGTAATTAATTATTATTCAGATCTTTTTGGATGGACCATACGGAGCTCCTTCAAGTTATATATTTCAAGCGCAACACGCAGTTTTAATCGGAACAGGAATTGGAGTAACACCTTTCGCTTCAATATTACAATCAATTATGCATCGTTACTGGAAAGCCAGGCATACTTGTCCGAAATGCAAATTCTCTTGGGCCAGTGAAATTCCTCCCACTGTGATGCATCTTCAAAAGGCAAGAATTTATTTGATATTTCTAACATTTATTTCATGTAACAAATACATTATGTGAAATATAACTTTGTGATATATAATTATATGAAATGATACCGTTATCACAGATAATTGAAATATGCATCGCAAATATTAATGGTTCTTTAATTCGATAAATTTATTTTTAAAAGCTTTTAAATCTTTGAAGCATATATTAATTTTATAAAATTAGTAATCGTAATCAGGATAAGTATGAATGTATACTCGTTTCATTTATAGGTAGACTTTTTCTGGATCAACAGAGATCAACGATCCTTCGAGTGGTTCGTGAATTTATTATCCCAACTAGAAATGGAACAAGCAGAGTTAGGCGTTGCTATGGAACGTTTTCTTGAGATGCACATGTATATTACCAGTGCTTTACAGAAAAATGATATGAAAGCCGTTACTTTACAATTAGCTATGGACTTGGTCCATCAAATGGTTTGAAACCAATAAATTTCTATTCTCTTCTCAAAAAATTTCTTCTCAAGAGTGTATTGCAAATAAATCAATGCAGTTCTGGAATAGTCTTAATTCTTTCGCTGTGAAAGTTAGGAGCTTTTATCGGCTATGAAACAATACAATTTTTATTACTATTGATAAGATTTATTTTATTTTATTCCGTATCTAAAGAAACTATGTTTTTTCAAGATATCTCTATAAATTTTCAGTGTTAAGTAATTGCAGAATTAAATTATTTATTATATCCAATGATTTTATTATATCATATAAATAACAATACAAATAACTGTAAGTTACTAACATTATGTATTTTTTCATATGTATATATACTTACATAAGTTTCGTAGTGAAGGAATTAAAACGGAGATGATCATTTTATACAACGAAGAATTAAATGATTCCACATAAATAAATAGTTTAATCTTTCAGGAAAAGCGGGATCTTATAACAGGTTTGAAAACACGGACAAACGCTGGCCGACCAAATTGGGATAAAGTATTCAAACAGATTCAAGAGCAGAAAAAAGGTAAAGTGACGGTCTTCTATTGTGGTCCACCGCAACTGGCAAGAATTTTACGTTACAAGTGTGATCAATTCGGTTTCAACTTCAGAAAAGAATCATTTTAAAAAAAAAAAACAATTACACTGTATTACTACGAAATATTTATAAAATTCCCATTTATCATCAATTTTTTCCTAAAATTACATATCGATACATCTTGACCAAATTTTCATCGTGTAATATTATGTTGTCGAATGTTACTTAATTTTGTCTTGTTTAGATGATTGCTACGATCTTTTCAATAATACCATCCAAGTACAAAAATTTTACTTCATGTTGTTCATAATTCTGGCTGTTTCATGCATCAACCAAATTGTCATTAATACAAGGAGAAAATTTATTTGCCGTTCTGTCATAATAAAATTATAATCATCATTTTGTTGAATAAATCAACGATCGTCAAATTTGTAATCAGAATCAGATATGTGACTAATTTCAAATGTGTAATAATTCATAATATTCTGATAATTTCTGTTTCGTTAATTATTTTCTCGAATTGCTAAATATAAACGGAATTTTGATTACCGATGCTTGTTGAATACCAAAATGAATTTTTTTTGCAACATACTTCATTCGTTGTTATAATTAAGAAACCTATTTTAATTTGTTCAATATTCATTACATAAAATTAATAAACTTAATTTGAAATTACTTTGAAAATGCCAAAGTTAATTAAACGGTAGAACAAATATAAATACAAGATTCGTTAGTCAAAACTGAAACATAAATTATACGATTTATTTTATATAACAACAAACGAAAGATTAAAATTTAAATTTACGATAGCTCAAAAATTTTTGTAAAGTTAGTATACTATCAACTAACATCGTTAAAATAAAAAAATAATTGTAAAAAATATTTTAAATAATTTAAAAAACAACAAGTAACGACCTGTAAGAATAAACTATAAAATTTAACATGTGCATTGTCACACAACATACAATTATGCTATTCGATACAAACTTCCAAAACTTCATGAAGTTCAACTACAAACATACATTACAAATAAATATATTTAATAATGATTTGTTATAACTCATTATAAGTGCGTAATATATAGTTAACTTAGGCTTTTCTTATATTAAGGAAAATAGATAAAAATAAACAATCACGTATCTGAAAACAATATTAATATATATTTTTTATTTCAAAATTTAATAACACGGATTAATAATAAAATTTAAAATATATAACTGATAAAATATAAAAATACAATTCATATACATAAAAAATAATTTATATCATACCTTTATCTTTATCATATTTGTTTATATTTTTTTATTCATAAAATATAGCAAATCTTTTTCCATTTAAAGCCAAACTTTAGGAATGTACAAGTAACTGAAACCTCTTATATTTTGAAAGGAACGAATTAGATAATTTTCTTATCTGTGTTTACAAGCATGGTTGCTTTATTACAGTATTTAATATTGAATTCACAAGGATGTTGGTACCATGGTTCACCATCAATTTGCATAGCGCAAGACTTTATTATTTTTACCTGTATTTTATAAAATGTTTGTAAAACAAGAGATACATGATAAACAATAGATATGAAACATGTATTTTTAATATATTTATTTATTCCTTTTTAAAATCTTTTTAAAAGTTTAATCTATTAATTTGAATAAATTTTAAAATACCTTTATACTGCTAGCTTGTCCAAGTCGATAAGGTTGAGATAATCCTACTTGAAGTTGAGCCATATGAAATGAAGAATAAAGTGCTACTACTTCTAATTTACCATCATTGATGCTTTGTTTTCCATATTTTTCATAGCCTATTCAATATAAGACGTTCACATTTCCTCAATTATGTTATATATAAAAAGTATAAGTACCTTCTAATCCCATATTCCACAAATCAACTCCAGCAGCCCACGATGGGATGTTTAATATTACAATACTTTCAATAGATGGTAAATCCACTTTTTCATCATCCAAATATAATTCTATATTTTTATTAAGATTCTTACAGTCTCGTTCAACTACTTGTTGCATCCCAAAGCACAAATATAGTAGCTAAAAAATTTATAGTAGCTATCAAAGATGCAAATCACGTATCATTTTACATAATATTCAAGTAAATATTTAATAAAACAGGAAGTACCTTATTGAATAATCTACTGCTATAAAAATAAAAACGACTTTCTCTTGTACGATGAAAATTTAATGTTACTTGTGCATCTACTCCCACACTTAAATAGTTATACATGTAAAATATTTGTTGTGAACTTCTGAGTCCTAATCCACCATATGGTTTTACCGTCACAGTCCATCTAATAAAATATTTAACTAATTATACATATCAGAAGTAATTTAAAACAGATTATATTGGATATTTCCTTTGCACCTATCAAGTTCGATTTTTTGTGCTAGTTGTATCTCTTGTAAAATATCTCTAGGATCCTTATTTGGATCATGCTCTTTTCCCCATCCTAGTACTCTTGATAAATCATTTCCTGTTCCCAATGGAATTATTGCTACAGATGGAATTGCCTGTTACAAATGAAGATATTAATGAAGATATTAAATTCATATATTTGTTATTCAAATATTTTCTAATGTCATATGTTAAAATAGGGAAATTGTTAGTAGTTTAACAAATAATGAAACAAATAAATAAATTTAATTTATAAAATATATATAAAATGTATATATGTATTACTTCCAATTCAAGTTTATGAATGGCATTCAATAACCAAGCTATTGTTCCATCTCCACCTGCAACAAGCACTGTACATGTTACTTTCCTAAGTAAACGACACCATTCTAAAACAGCAACTGGATCACGTTCTGATAAATCAACAACTTGTGCAGGATTTAATAACCTTCTAAACAGAGATAAGATTTCTGCTCCATCATTATTTCCAGATTTTTTATTTGCTGAAAATAAATCTTTTAAGTCAAATTGTAATTTCCAAAAAATTATTTTGAACATGTAATTATATGATTATAATATTATTATAATTTCACTAACTTACCAACAACTATAAGAGGATTCCACTGAGGCCAACTTGGAGGTATAATTGAACAAAGATATAGTCTACGTCTTACAGTACTTCGTAAATTTATTACCTCTAAACTACTTGGTGGAATTATCATTAATCTAAATTTACCAAAATCACATATCTGAAAATTTTAGAAATAATAATTAATATATAATTAATTAATTAATAATTTTTATAAATTGCACATAATTGTAAAAAATATACTTTAGAAAGCTTAGGTTTGCAGTCATCATGGACACATCTCTGACACCAACAACACCACCAATCTGTTTGTCCAGGTTCCACATCACATTCCTCATTACATATGTCGCACATAACATTTAGAGGTAAATTACCTTATATGAAATGAGCACAAATTAACTTAAATAATTTAGTGATTTAATTTAAATGACTTAAGTAATACCTGATATTCAAAAAATAAAATAAATAATTTAATTTTTAAATACTATTTATAAAATATACAAACATAAAAAGATAAAACATACCCTTTATCCAATGATGTTTCATTGGTTCATTTGTGTTTATAGTAATAAGTTTGCACTTTAATTGTTTATCTGCAATCTTGACACACGTAGGATCCGCGCAAACACCACATGAATCACAGATTAAACCACTAATATTCAATAATAAGCTTTCACAAATGCTACAGTAATATGCCTACAGATAGAAGCAATACTTTTAACTTTTATATATTATACATAATCACATACACGTACATATACACATACACACATATACGTACTCATTATAATCTAAATTTTATATTTCACATTCTAAATTAATGCTGTCTAAAATGATTATTGAATTGCTTATTTCAACTCATTTATACCCAATCAAGTTCAGATTTGAATCAAAAATTAATCATAAATCACCAATAATTTTGTAATTTTTATAATCGATAACATATTTACATTAATGTATATTCATATTAAAAATGAAACAAATACATAGCATATACAATATATTTATTATCATAAGTAATTAAATTAATTTAGATATACATAATTACATGATATTAAAATATCTTATAAAAAAAATATAAATTTTCATATTTTCAATATGATAGATAACAATGATAATTACAAATTAAATTACTAGCAATTGATCGACTAATATCTAAAATATAGCCAAATTATTCATTACATAATGGCAAAAGATAAGTTATAATAAAAGTTATAATTTAATTAACTATGATACTAAAGAAATAACAGTTGTAAAAATTGAAATACATTACAAAATTTAAATTTTCAAAATCCTGACTTACATCACTATAACGATGATGAATTTTTCATGTATAAATAAAAATGAGTTAAATGTGTTTATAAAAATATTTATATATGCATATATATTGATACATACATACCTTTGTTTCTCTTTTAATAGATTTCCAATTATGCTCTTTGGTAACATCTCTAATATGAATATGTGGCTCTTTTACAAGATATCGGAAGAGATGTAATATAAATATAAAAAATAGAGAAAACAATGCACATAGAACAATGGTGCTACATCCGTCCTCTAACATGTTATTAAATAAATTTTGTTTTTTCCAAAATCATCACAATACATAAAATGGTTACTGCAGATTATAAGTATTCTTTGTATTTCAGTTTTTTATACCAGAAAAGCTTCTTTCATATCATCCAAAATAATTTGACACCTTCTTTTTCGTTTCGATTTCACATCGAGGGAAAAGAGCTACAAAAACGTATAGGTAATATATATTTCATTTAATTAATTAAAAAGTTAAATTATGTTCAATAATTGAATGGCAATTACACAAACATAAAAGAAACAAAAGGCAAGAATATTTTCATATATCAAGGAAAATATACTAATAGTAAAAATGTTATTCCGTTTGAAGAATTATACTAAATAGAATAAATTAGAGATTAAATTTATTCACCTTCTTTAACTTCTTTTTATCATCAAGTCATTTGAATCTCATTCGTCATCTGCCGCATTGCACTTCCCTCTATATGAATTAGATATTTGTATAATAATTTGTATTACCAACATACTGCATAAAAAAAATTAAAATTACAGTGTTAAATCTTTCTCATCGCATGATTTAATTTGCGTGTAGAAAATGCAAATTTATTTGTTAAGTATTATTTATTTTTACGATATAGACGATTTTTGTAAAATCATAAAAATAATTTAAAAAATAAAATATAATTAATTATAATTTTACTTTTGACTAAATATACTGATGAATCAAAAAATTCTATTATTTATATAAAATTACTCAGTAAGTATATCATGAATAATAACACATAACTTCAAATTTTAAATTGCGTATCTTTCTTATATGTGGTTCATTAGAAATAACTTTAAGCTTCATGTTTCTATCGGTACTCAAATTAATCGGTACTATATTTTCGGATTAATTCGATCAAACACTTTTATTGGAAACAATTGAAACAAGTGAAAATTGATTTTTCAAAAATAGGGATCATAATGGCACGTGTTATAAAATTTGTAAAGAACATTTATTATGATCCTTTTAAATGGTATGTAACAAAAAAATTTTTCTTTATTTGCTATATAACCTCTGAATTAAATTTTATGATCTAATCTCTTATAGTCCACATGTTTATTAAAATTTGTAATTATTATATATATATATATATGTTGTTAAACAAAAATAAAATTTATTATATAAGTAATTTACATACAATTTCTTATTTACAGGTCAATAGTTAAGAGTATCGGATTATTTATACTAGGCGTAAAGATTGCTGTTGAATGTAAAGGAGTCAATCTAATGCCACCAATTTCTTAAAAATATTGAGAGATATTGAAAATAGATTTAAATCTGTCATATTATGCATGTGCATATGTATTTTATCATTCCCATGTAAAAAATAATTGTAAAAGGCACAAACCATTTATACGTACTTGTTTTATTTAATTTCTCCATTCATTTCTTAATTGTGTGTGTGTGTGTGTGTGTACACACACACACACACACACAGTTACAAACAATATATCATGTTAATAATATTTATATAATATGTAATAAAATCTTCAGCTATTTTTTTGTTAAAAAACTTTTGTATAAAATATATCAATAAATCTGTTTCCTTTAATTAGATATGATTATGCATATTTTACACAACTACTAATTTTTAACATTAAATAATTAAAAGAAAAAAATTTTAATTTTAAAAAACTGAAAGTTTAAAAAATTAGTCTTTATCAATGTGTATTGCAAGAATAATTTTACACTCAGAAAAATAATATTAAATTAATTTTTTATTATTTTGCTCTACTATTACAGTAAATAAAAAATTATTTGATTCCTTAATGCTTACAACAAAGCTTTTGTACCGATCTACATTCTGTATTGTGTGATATATCTCATAAATGTATTTATTATCAATTAGTACCTGTTATACTATACTGTTATTACAATAGATGTATATAAATGAAAAATGTATTTTTTTCTATTCAAACTTCTCTAAAAACTAGATGGTTTTTATGTAACTTTTTCTCATAAGTGGACATTTTTTTTAATTATTGTTCACGTTACTTACATTAATATCATTAATTTATTATCATTGCGTTGTGTAGAATGTGTTATATAGAAATATCAATATACTTAATCTAATCAAGTCTTATAATTTGGATTTTATTTACTACATTATTACAATAACTGTCATTATATTGTGAGAAAATATTTGTATATTATTTACATGGCTTTACTCTTTCTTGAAAGAATAATTATTAATCCAAAGAGATTATTAATAAAAATTATACATAGGTTACATATTGAACAAACAAAAATGTAAACTTTTGAAGAAATAATTTTTTAGACAAAAGTTACACATATTATGTTTCACGTTATACTTCAATTTGTTTACAGTGTATGTATAAGTGGATAATATGATCGACGATGACAAATAATATAGAGAACTAATGAAATAACTTCGACACACAATACGAAGTTACATATTAAATCATGTAACACACCATGTTAAAAATATTTGTATATTATACTGATTACTCAACTTCGGGTAAATCCAAAATTTCTCCAACAAATTCAGCAACATTTGTGTCCTTTTTGGCATGTTCTGTGATAAAATCAAGTTTCAATAGCTGATTATAATTTGGACGGGCAGTATAATCCTTCATTAAACTGAAAAAATAATTATTAATTGATATATATATATATATATAATGAATTTAAAAATTAAAAATTAAAAATTAAAAATTAAAAATTAAAAATAATTGATTTTACCATTTAGTAATAAATTCATCAAAACTGGCGGAAAATTTACCAGCTGGTAGCTTTGGTGCTTCATCTTTTACAACTTGCTTTAATTGTTCAAACGGCGTTCCCCAAGATTCATAGGGAAATTTTCCTGTTGCTAATTCAACAAGAGATATACCTAATGACCAAACATCAGATCTGATGTCATATTGCGAAGGGTTACCCGTCGGGTCTATCCTTTCTGGCTGAAGAAAAGGTTACGATGGAGAATTTATCGAATAGACAGGAACAGAAACTTTATAATCTATCTTAAAAAGTTACGTACAGCCATATATGGTTTACAGCCAGCATCAATAGTTTTAGCAACAGAATCCACAAGATAACCAGAAATACCAAAGTCACAGATCTTGACCTCTCCTTTTCGATTAATTAGAATATTACTAGGTTTTACGTCCCTGTGAATTACTCGCAACTGTGAATATAGATAATGTAATGCACTTACTACCTGTAAATATATTTCAAAATTATAATTACGATCGACGTTTAATAACAATAATAACAATAAATTATGATAATAACAGTAATGTAATGACAATAAGTTATTTAATTTTCTCTTACCGCAAAAGCAATTTTTCCTAAAATATCTTCAGGAATGGCATGTCCATGCTTATATACTTTTGTATAAAATTTATCCAAACTCATATCCATAACTTCCATACATATCCAAACATCTCCTTCCCTGAATAATGCTCCATAAAATTGTACTGTATACTGACACGCTGAACTACGCATAGAAATATCTAAATCCATAAGTAAACGTTTTTGTTCTTGCGTATTAACTGTTGCAGTTATTCTCTATAAAATAAAATAACCGAATGAATAACAAACATGTAAAAAATGTATTTACATAATATCTTTGAAAGAATACATCATACCTTAACCGCCATAATAGTACCACTTTGTTTATGTCGTACTTTATCCACAATACCATATGCTCCACGTCCAAGAATACAAATTGTTTCTAAATCATCTGCTTCTACCACAAATGTTTTATCACCTATGGTTATCGTAGTTCTTTTATCTAGATTTCTCGGCGGAGTGCTACAGTACATAAAATTTATCATTGCTTTTATAAAATGATCATTTTATTAAAAAATCTATAAAAGTTCCGACATGATATTATATATTTTTCATTTAGATACATGTCTCCTATATATATTTATAAAAAAAACGTTAATAAAAAAATATTGCTATTACAACAGAAGATAACAAACAAAAATTAAATTAAATATAACAATATAATAACAATGTGATAATATTACATACACAGGTACAGGTGTCTCTTCAGAGACCTGCAATTTCAAGTTCCTTTTTCCTCGACGTACAGCCATAATTTAATAAGCAATTAATAAATATTAAGTCTGTAGATGCAATTGGATATAATACATATTCAAATAAATTGTAACAAATGACAGTAACGTAATCTGCAAGAAAATTAATATATATTTATTTCATAGACTACAATAATATCAGGAAAATCGTTAAAGATTAAAGGTTATGCAATGAATTTACTACAGACAAATGCAAATTAACGAACAATGTTAAATCTTTTTTAATATAATTTTACTATAAAGTCATTAAAAATAATTTATATAATACCTTGTTAACAACATGATAATATTATAAAAAAATAACGACAAAACTTTAAATATCCGTTGCCCATATATGAAGTTTTTAGTAAACTCAAATAGTCGCTTGAAATTGCTCACAAAAGCCAATTCAGTTTCCATTCAATTTAAGCTTTTTTGTAACTGAATTATACCTTTTAAACATATTATAAAATTAAAAAAAAAGGAAAAGATTCTGATACTTCATTTAAAAATTTGACAACGTTCAACTGGTATAAACCGTTTAATAGTAAAATTATAATATCTTGAATTAGTTAATACGAAGCGTTAAATATTTCATCTTAAAGTCACATTCACATGAACGTACATACGTATTAAAATTTCTGGACATATTTGATAAATTGAATTTTTTTATTATTATGTTAAAACTATTTTTAACAGCATTTTTAATAGCAAACGATATACATATTTGTTAAACAAATTTAACTTAATATTTAGAAATATTGTAAAATTACAATGAAATAAAAAAACATTAATAAAATTATATTCATCGTAAAATTATTAATTACAAAAAAGTAACTTTATAATTTTTAATACGTAATCTATATACAATATGTATGTCAAGTATCATATAAAAAAAGTTAAATAAAAATAACGTATATAAATGTAAATAATAACAACTTGAATTTTAAAGTCATCATTTTCTAAAATAAAATTATAATTCTTTTTACATATCAATCAATATATTATTCAGACTACGCAAAATTGTAGTATTATAATAATTATAGTTGGAAACAAGCGCACAAAACAATTATTTTTAATTTAGCAAAATATTTGAAATATTTTTTCTATAAATAAATCTTTTTTTTTATTAAAAGTCAAACGAACACGCGAATGTATATTTTGTTTAAACTATTTTTCATTAAAAATTTATTATACATATTTACAATTGAAATGAAAAATATTTGTTACGAAACGAAAAATTCAAATTAATCATGGCAATGAAAGCATAAACGTTAAACGTTGCTTTATTAAGAATGAATTACATATATCTTACATGTAAAATAGATCTTACGTATAAAATCTTAACATATAATTCAAAATAAAGTATCGCGTAATTATTTGAATACATTTGTTGTATAAAAATTTTTCATCTTTTTATTAAATGATTATTCCGACTCATATCTTCTAACCTATAGATATCGCAATTGAAAATACAGCTAATACAATACTGTATAATAAAATGGACATGAGCAAATAAAGGTTATAAATTTGTGAAATTGATACATAACAAATATTTACATTGTTCAACATACACGATAGTGTAGTTTTATACAAAATGACTGTCAAAAACTATTTCAATATTACTTATTTGGACAATGTTCACTCGAAATTATATTATAAAAAATAATTGAATAAAAAGGTTAGTGTTAAGTACCTACGGCGCATGCTTTAATGGAATCAGCTGTTTTCGTTATATGCAAAAAGATTTTTAACGTAAAGTGTCTTTTTTTTTTCTTCAAAATTGCACTATTTGTTACAAAATATTTTGCACAAAATGATTGATACTACAGCACGATGCGGGACGTGTTACGAATCTATAGACAATTCAACTATTTCTATGTCAAAACCATCCTAATTTGACCACGTCAGATTTTTGGTGTATAGTAACTGTAGTAGTAGTGATAGTAGTGACGATTGTAAAAGGGTTTATAAAGATGGTGGTAGTAACGATAGTGGTAGTAACAGCAGTAGCGATGATTGTAAAGTGGTGAAGTGATATGTTTGTACATTTATAAAAATACTTATTGACAATTCAATATTTTAAAAAGTAATGTGAGCATTTAAAAAGATGAAGATTTGTATAACCTGTGTGTATTGGACATTACTTTTTATATCAATTGCATCTAGGTAAGCATTTTCTTTTCCTTTTTTTTATTAACAGTTCACAATTCATGCAGAATTACCGACAGCTTTGTCAAGTATTTTATTTTAGTAATATTTTTAATATAATATTAATATTTAACTGGTAAGTTTTATTTAAACGCACAAAAAAAAGAAAAAAATATACAAGGTTACTGCTAATTGTCTCCATGCAAATAATGTTTTAAATATGCAAGTTAATAACATTCATCAGTAAGTTTGATATTTACAACCGTCATTATATGAATTAACAATATTTGATGCATACAAAGTATAAAAGTTTGCATTCATAATTTCAATTCAACAAATTCAAGTTGTTGTAATTAACTTGTAAGAAAGATAATTCATTTTAATGTTCTATACATTTGAAAATAAACTGTATGGAACAAAAAAAATATATATATATATAACATAAAACATAGTATATTAAATAAATATGCGAATATTTATTTATCTTTTTAAATAAATTTTTCACCACTTCTGAAATTATTGTAATTTTTGTAAAAATTAATAATTGAAATTAAATTCATTGCAGATTTTTTTTTAATTCATTCATCTCTTTTAATTAAAATTTTAATCTATTAAAAGCATTATAAACAATACATATATTTGTATTACTTATTTGTAATATGTAACTAGTAAATTTATAAAACATTATACAAAACATTAATTTAATATGTTGAGATTAAATGGTCGAATGCCTAATATATAAGACAAATTTTATAACAGGATATTTATGATTTTTCTTTACAAACTATGAGAGCAATTAAAACAAAATATCAAAATAATTCATCTTTTATGATATTTATATTGATTACTCGTATATCAAGTATTTGCAGAAATAAGTAAAATAAGGAAAATTAATTTATGTTTTCTTTCTTTATCTTTTAATATATGATATTTTTTTTTATTTGCAGTGCACTTCTGTTCATCATAGTTGCTTCTGAAAATGCACAAAGCAATTATCATTCATCTCTTAGAATGAATGAAACTTCTGAGACTGATGATAACGATACGTTAAATAATATGGAAATTAGTGATTTAGATACTTCCACTATAACAATTAATGAACTACATGATTTACACAAATTTGAAACTAATTATAAAGATCATTATTATCAAGTAAGGATTCAGAATAAGAAAATGTGTATATATAAATTAATACATTGCTATAACTTAAATAATTTCTTATCTTACAAAATTTGTATTCGCGTAAAAATATCTAATCTGTATTTGAAAATTATATCTAATCTGTATTATAAAAATTTAGGAAAAATATATCGAGGATTCAATTGATTTTGAAACAGTCATAAATGGTAAAGCAGAAAGAGAAGAGAATCCTTATAAAAATCCAGATATTGTAGCAGAAAGTCTTACTCAACAACCTAATTTATCTCAGGGGTAAGTTTTTATTATGTCAATATTACACAAGAAAATCCTATTACATTTGATTATATAACGGTTTGAAAAATAAAGCCTATATATATCATTTAATATACGTCGAGTATTTCTAATTCTTATACGTTTAGACAAAAAATAATACGTCAATATGTTATAAAAAAGTTTTTGGTCTGGGATTTATTTAAACTTCATAGTTGGTAAGTTAATAGATTAAAAAATAAGATAATAAAGTAAAAGTTCAAATTATTTAAATTCTTAAATTATTCATAATATTCAGGAAAATATTCTTTGGAACCTTAACAGTTTTTTGAAGATAAAATGTAAAATGTAATGATATTTAAAATAATAAATAATATAAATTAGACAAGTATTATCATATTATTTGTAAAAAGTATTAAAGATCATAATTATACACAAAGTTATGCTTTCACAGTATAGTCTTTTATTTTTTTTTTTTTTTATTAAATTAATGAAAATTTATTAATATAAAAAATATTGCAACATAATACGTAAAATATTTTAGTTTTAATAGGCTTATCAACATTATGATTACAACAAATAAAAAATATGAATAATTAATGATTTATATTTGACAATTGAGATAATGGATAAGATAACAGCCGATAAGATTTGCATCAAGTGAATAAATTAAAAAAAAATTATAGGAAAGATAAGAAATAAATGTAAAAATAAGAATAAGATTTTGAATAGTTAATTTTTTAGTTAGTTAGTTAATAGTTAATTTAAATTTATATATATATAATATTATATTATATTATATAATATAAAACAAATTTACAATTAAATATATTAACAACAATGAAAATGTTAGGAATACATTTTTTTTTAGGTACAAAAAAGAGGATAAGTCACTAATTACTTTAAATATTTTATCATTAAATATGAATGATATATCAAATTTTTAATTTCATCATCAGTCAAAGAATTTTAAACTTTCTAAAAAATCTTTCTCTTTTATAGAATTTCTGAAAATGAGGAAGTTTTAACTTTGATAAATACAACTGTACAAGGAGAATTTCAGAGTTTAACAGAATCAAAGCTTAATTCTGAATTTCCAAAATCCAGATTATTTTCAAAGAAATCATCTCTATTGAAAAATAATGCAAAAAAGAGACAAGAAGAAATGTTATCCAACATACAAACACCATCATCAACTATTACCGATGAAATTACTGAAAGATCTAACGAAACAACTAATCTCGAGGAAGAATCTTTATTATTAACAAATTCAATTGGAGAAGAAGAAACACCCGAGGTAGTGGTAGTAGTAAGAGCTGAACAAACTTCTATCAGTACCGATGAACTAGAGTTGAAACTTGAAGATAATAAAATTGTCAAAGTACTCCCTGACGAGATAATTAAAGTTGATGGAACATTTGCAACAACCCCAGAATTAAGCGATACCGATGCTAAAGCTAGATTAGTGGGAGATAATCGAGACGACACTGCCGCAGTTGTTCTTGGCGAAGGAATCGTAACTGTAGGATCTTCAAATCCACACGAAGATATTCCATCTTTCAGTGAATGGACACAAAAAAGATTGGAAGAAGCTGAAAGGAAAAAATGTGAGTTCTATTTGTCAATTCAACAATGCTAAAAACTAAAAAATTAGCGTAAAAAATATTTTTTATGTAATATTTCTCAAATAAAGACTGTAATTGAAAGAAAATTTATATTAATATATTTTTATTATAATTTTATTATAAATTTGTTTATTAAAACCTTAATAACCTTTTTCGTAGCACATCCAAATGCTTCTGTGCAGAATTCTGGAACACCAACACGAGGAATTGGCGGAATGAAAGTTCGTTCTAAAAATTATGCTTCTCCGGATTGTGGTGCAAAGATCGTAGCAGCAAATCCAGAAGCGCGAAGTGTTGGAAGCGTTTTAGTTTCCACTAGAGACGAATATATGCTCAATACATGTACGTCACGTATATGGTTCGTAGTAGAACTTTGCGAGGCGATTCAAGCTAAGAAAATCGAATTAGCCAATTTCGAGCTTTTTAGTTCTTCACCAAAGGATTTTTTAGTGTATATTAGCGATCGTTTTCCTACGAGAGATTGGAGCCCAGTTGGTCAGTTTACCGCAAAACACGTAAAGGATATTCAAAGTTTCGTTCTACAACCACATCTTTTTGGAAAATTCATAAAAGTAGAACTACAAACTTATTACGGATCTGAGCATTTTTGTCCTATTTCTTTGTTTCGTGCTTACGGTACCAGTGAATTTGAGGTTCTTGAGACTGAAACAGAGAATCAAATCCCGAGGGAATCGCATACAAATATAGACGACGACGAAGATAGCGACGAAGAGGAGGTTTTAGACATTGAAAATGGCGAACCACCAAGAAATTTGTTCGGCAGTGCCAGAGATGCTGTGTTGAGCATCATGAAAAAAGCAGCTGAGGTATTAGTAAAATCTAGCGATTTAACCTATAATAATATCACAAAAATTCAGCAAAGTATAGATAATGGTAATATTCTTGAAAACTCTTTTGTCAGTTGTACCACACCAAGATATACCATTCTTTGCGATAGCTGCTCAGATCAGAAATTTGCAAAAATCTTTCAGTTAATCAGTTGTAGGGAGAAACAACTAGACGAGTTGCTTAAAATCGATTTAGTGAACAGAACTTTGAGACAAAATGGACTATGTAAAATTCATGGTGTAAGAGTCGAAACTTTTGCAAAAAAAGAAACGCAAAATGAAAATATACAAGATACGGAAAGACACGATCAATTTAACGAAAGATTTAGTTCAAGTAAGAATTTCCAATTGACATTCGTAACATCTATACTTAAATCTGAATATATTGCAGCACTTTGCAATGTACTAGCGATAAAAGAACGTAAGATGGTAATGAACACGAGTCATGAAATACCACCGAATGATTTCAAAGAAGTTATTAAAGAAGATACATCACACAAAGAACACAAAGAAGATTACCACAGTAACGCAAAATCGTTTCAACATACATCAGCTACACGTACTTTGAATACGAATGTTGATACATCTTCTCGAGAATTTAAAAAAAGTACTCGGGAACTATCTAGCGAAGAAACTGACATATTCACTAGTACAACAATTGACATTTCTTCCAGTTCTAAAAATATAGTTTTACAGATAAAGCCTACCAAAACTTTGGAAAAAGAAGAAATGAAAAATGAAACGTTGACACCAATTTTAGAAATTGAGGAAACAATTCCAGCTGAAATACTAACAACTGTTCCAATAACTTTAAACGTAGAACGACATTCAATTGTAAAAGCCTCCGAAGAGCCATTTACAAGTTCTAGCATTTCCATTGAAAATTCACCTGAAACAACTGTTTCTACTTCAATACCTGTTACTGATAGCAATGAATTTTCAAATGATAATATAACATCAGACATGGAACCTTCGGAGTTTAAGAATGTACCTAATAAAATGGAGAAAGTAGAACGTTTGGATCAAGAAGGAAAACAAGAACCAGCAGAGATTCTAGATCAAGAAATTAAGTTACCGCCTCAAGATTCTTTAACGTTTGATAATTTATTATCCGACTTGAAGGATTTAGAAGGAGAAACAGCTCATATTCAAAATGGTCCTATTGCAAGTGCTTCGGTAATTCAATCAACGACGAATACTATGCCACAAAAAGAATCTGTTTTTCTAAGACTCTCAAATAGAATAAAGGTATATATGTAGTTGATAAGAACATAAATTTTACAACATGATACAGACAATTTTAAAATGGATTTTAATTTTTCAAGACGAAATTTCTTTGTTAAATAATTTCATTTCCACTGTTCGTGTACTCGATAACATCAATTTATATCATTTATATCATTAGAATATAAATTTTATTAAAATTTCATTATTTTTAGGCATTAGAAAGAAATATGTCTTTGAGTGGACAGTACTTGGAAGAGTTAAGTCGTCGATATAAGAAACAGGTTGAAGAAATGCAAAGATCTCTCGAACGCACAGTCTCAGCAATGAGCGAAGAAACGCGAAAAAGAGACGAACGCGAATCAAAAAGAGCAGAAGAAATTGCCGTTTTAAAAGAAACAGTCGTTAATCTTTCGAACTCGGTGAAAAATCTTTTGTACGATCGTGATAGTTGGCATGGAAAAATCTCCATGATAGGACAACACATGTTGTTAATATGTTCCGAAGTTTTTGTGATATACTTAATTTTAGCGTATTGTTGGGCAAATAACAATAAAGAAGTCGAAGTAAAAAAGAAACAACAGTCGGACAAAGATACGACGCGGCGTAAAAGTGCGGAAAACTTTAGTTCACATATGAAGACAAAAACAAAAAAACGAAGACCAAGCGAAATAGCTTCTCACATTACGGGTACATATCGTGACTTGATGATTATTGATAAATCTCACGAAACAAAGAAAGAGAAGAAGAGGAAACGTAAAAAACTAACTACTTTAACTACCGATAATCAAACAAACGTAACTAACGATACAGACGCGTGTCCAATTGTACTGTATAAATCTCCGACAAACATTACGCACGAAATGCAAATATCACCGAAAATTGCTTCATCCGTTGAAGTATTACGTACATCTGATTCTCAAAAACAAATCTGCAAGAGACTTAAATCTGCTCCAGAAAATATGATTGACTGGCGAGAAAATGAAGAGAGCAATATACAATTAAGGTTATCACGTGCCGAAACAGATTCTATTAAAAATTTTCAGCTAAATAATTCGTGTATTGAAAATTCAAACGAATCAAATTTGTTATCAGCAGATATATTTTCAGAAAGGAACACTTACAGCGAACAAACCATCATTGGATCCGAAGATCTTTTGAAATCTAAAAATATTAGTACGTTAAAGAACACAAGATTAAGCGTAACACCTTCATTTATGAAAACTGCTTTAAGTACGAGAAAAAAAAGAAAAGCTTATTCGAACGATGCGAATGGAGAATGGAGTAAGAATTTAAGCGATCCTGACAACAAGACTGTAGGTTCTATTCCTTCAAAATTATCTCCAGAAGAAACTTATACCGATGGTGATACGGCTGCTAACGGTCTGCTAATGGATCAGAGCGATGAATCTAGAAGTAGTAGCATAACATCAATGTCAAAAAAAAAGGAGAAAAAAAACACTGGTTTTAGGAAAATGGTGAGAAAATTTTTTTGATTAAAATAGATATGCCAATAACGGCTGGTTGAAAAAATAATTTAAAATCGCTGGAGCTTGTAAAACTTTATTTACAGTTTAAGCATAAAATACGCTTGGTTGGAATGCTTAGTCACGTAAAGTGGATGTCACTTAAAACAACTGCAGTCGTATAGATATTATCCGTAGGCCTATGTTATCATACAATGTTTATAAATAGTCGGACAGTCAGTAAAATTTTATACACAAATGAATTAATACATAACACATAGTATATGAAACACAATTCTCGTACGATATTCCTGAAAAATATACGTAGACTTGTAAAATTTTATTGACCGATCGTAAACTATCTCCAGAAACTTTATATGCCGACAGTTCTATACGTCTATACATACATCGTAGAATGTTAAATCATTGTGGTTCGTACGAAATGTCCTATCGGTAGATGTAAATATAATTACTAGATAAAATATCTCTTGCATAAAACTATTTCTAAAATTAAATTACTTAATTGTAATACATTAGACTGATTTGTGTATTATTTTAATTTTTATTATTATAACTTTATATTATTTAATATCATTGTTTTAGATTTTGGATATTTATGTAAATGAATCGCGACGACAAAATATATAAAGTACAGTGTATTATTAACGCACGTAATTAACATAGTTTATGGCATAGTTGAAACATTGATAATTTTTTAGCGAAAGTGAAATTCAAAGTACTTACATTAGTTTACCGTAACATCCATTATCTATCGTGTAATTGTAAATGGTCTAAATGTGTCATAAATCTGCCAAACTTCCGCCTAGTCAAGACAGGACTGGTAGCTGTCATCTTGCCTTTAAAGAACGACACTACTGATAAATTAAAATAATTAATTCATTCAAACGAATGTTCGAAATATGTGCAGTGTGTAAAATAAAAAGTATTTTTTTAGAAGTTTTTAATGACAAAATTTTTGTTGATTTCATTTCTTTATTTATTGTATATAAAAATATGCATTTGTAAACATGTCTAGCTGTTGTACTTATCATTGAAAAGTTTATTTATATCTTAAAAAGTTTATTTATATCTTGAAGTTCATTCAAACAAATATTTCAAATGAAACTTATTTCGCTTCAAAGAGATATACGTAGCATACAAGTATCACCTAAACGGAAATAAGATTTCAAAATGATTTTTATTTTTTTCCTTCGATTCATTGATTTTTGATATATTGATCTTCCAAAATTATTTAAGATCATTTATCTTTATTTAGAGTCTTCCTTTGCTAAACGTTTAAAAAATATTCTTTATTTTACATATTCAAAAAAATAACGTATTCAATATATTAGTTTATCCCTCGATGAAGAATACTTTATTCAAATTAATAAATTAGCCATTCCTATTATCTTTAAATTATAAAAATCACTTTGTGGGATACCTAATATCATTGTTATTATCATTGTTATCAAGATTGTCATTATATATTGTATATAAAATTATATATATTATATTTATCACGATAAATAGCCTAAAAATCTGAACTGAGTTAGTTATTTTATAAAGTATGTCAATTTTTAATGTATTATAAAATTTTTAATAGAAATTACTTTGTAACAGAAGTATGATTATTATAAATTTTTAATTCATAAATAAATTACTTTATATTTTATTTTAAAATATTTTCATTGTTTGTACAAGTAACAGATATTTTTTACATAATTTATTGAATTTAATTTATTTAATAATAGAATAAGAAATAATATTATTCGATATTTAAAAAATTTCACTTCATGGGAAATGTTTTTTATAATTTTAATAATAAATAACACAAAATATACTAAAGCATTTTACAGTTTTTTTTCAGATAGATTATCTATTAAAAATAATTTAACTTGCAAAAACATTTTAATTTTCTTATTTTTTATTTACAAAGTAATTTCAATTTAAGATCTGACGAATATGTTGAAATATATGTTGAAATTTTATATTTATCGTTATATATGTATATTAAATTTTTTATTCCTTATATTGGATGAACAATCGATAATTAATTGTGTATTATAAATATGTAATATAAAAAACAATATAATTAACTACTTCAATAGCTAGAAAAAATTAAGATAAATTCAATAATGAATTTGTTTTGTGATAGTATAAAAAATTTAAGATAAGATGTTGATAAATATAAATTTGTGTCTTTATTAGCCTATATTCTATTTCATTTTTTAAATATTTACAAATTTTAATTTTCAGGATCAAAAACAATATAAATTGCATACTAAAATATACACTATAATGAATTTGCCTCAACCAAATATAAAGTAATCAATATCTTCGTTATAATTTATCATTGTGTAATACGAACGAAGTATTTTTAAAATAATACATCATCATTTGGATCTACAATAATTTATTTAGTTGAATGAATAGTAGGACAGCTTTATGCGAGTCAAGCCGAGGAATAGAAATTTTCTTAGAAAAAATTTATTTTTATTTAGGAAACAAAAAATAATTATACATTACTGTAATATTTCTTTAATAATAAAAGTAATAATTTTTCAATCTTTATATATAACGAACCTGAACTTTAGAATTTATAATATTTATTTTTTCTTCATAAGCAGTTACACAAGTTTTTGATACTAATTGTTTTTTCATCCTTTCAGAACAGTTCCATTGACAATATTCAGAAAATTCTTTAAATTTAATGTGTAATTCTTTTTTATCTCCATCAGGTCCCGCAATAAATTCACATTTCAATTTCCGTTTCTTGTCTCTTATACAACATTCCAAATACCTGTACAAAATTAACATATTTTTTAAATAAAAAATAAAAGAAAAATAAAATAACTACTACAATTTATAATTTAGTGAAAAACTTTATTTTCATATTTCCTCGAAAAAAAAATTGAGAAATTAAAAAAAATAGTAAAATTTATAATATAACTAATGTATTATGAATAATATTATAATAAATAATATTATAATTTAATATTACAATATAAAAATATTACAATATAGACAATTTAAAATAATAGGTAATAAATTTTGAATTAATTTAACGATCAAACAGTTTTATATTTAATACTCGATAAACATTTGAATAGAAACTAATATTATGAAATAAATAATTTTACAGTAGTAATTATACCAATTACCTATAATCTGTTGCAAATAAACTATTTAGCTCTTCAATTTTAACATCACATTGTTGCCTTAAAATTCCAGTAATAAATACATCGTCGATCCAAAGAAAATTTTTAATCTTTTCACTTGCATAAACTAATAATTGTGCAACTTTTAAACTGGTTATATAAAACCATCCTGAGAGAAAATCAGGATAAACATCACCTGAAAAATCTTCATTGGTAACGAACCATTTATTATTTGATATTCGTATTGGTTTCATTTTTCTTAAAACATATCCAGATATAGCATTTTCATTTATAGTTTTATTTTGTAGAAGTTTTAATATTTCAAAAACGTCTAGTACAATATCATTATCACTTTTTATTAGGAAAGTAGATTTACAATTACTCGATGCCCATCTTAAACCCATTAAATGTTTTAACGTAAGGTTTCTATAACTTTCTAAGAAATCTCCTTGCAACAAATCGTTATACTCCTGTGATTCTTGAATAATATATTCCCATATACTTTCTTCTTTAGGCATTCCTAATAAAAAAACCCTTGTGATATTTAAACCTTTTAACATTTCATTTGGATATGCACGTCTTGATGCTGTTCTGTATAAAAAATCATTTGCTGAAGATGTAACAATCCAAACAACAAAATTAGAGTTACATTTTGGTTCAATGATAAATTTTATAAGTGAGGAATTTTTATTTGTATAATTTGCATTGTGTGAATATTTTAATTCCAGTTTTTTATTTGAAATATTTACTTTTATTATGGTTATTAACGAGATGAGTATCGTACTGACACAAAATATTACAAAAATAAGTTTTTTCTTCATATTTTTATATACTTTGACGTAATCGTTAATATAGTTCAACGATCATAGCTAAATTATCTCAACTGTATCAAGTATTTGCTCTTAATTTGTAGATTAACATAGTTTAGATAATACTTGGTATTATTTTCTAGTTTATACAAAAATATAATTTCTGTTTTCATACACTTTATTCTCTTTATAATAATTGTTAAACTGGAAAAATATATATATATTTTTTTATTATAACAATTAAAATCTTTATTGCAGATATATCTATTAAAACTTACTTACATTATATATACAAGTGTAATTTTTGTGGACTTTTTCCATTCTAATTATGGCATTTGCATTAGTTCCGTATATTTAGGGTCATACCATTTTGTATATAAAAAATATTTTATAAAATATCAGAAAAAAACATGTTTTTCAATAGTAAAAAGAATACAGTATTCTAATTATTATTATTTGCGTGATATTTTATATTTTAATAAAACAAAAATTATTTCCCATATTGAAAACTACTAACGATTTTACTACTACTACATAACCAAACCTACGTATAACAACCTGATTGTTGTCATTTGCAGATGTCAACTATTCATAAAGTATGAATAGTAAAAAATGTTTTATTTTTTTTATGGAAAAACTATTTAATTTTCATTAATTATTAATATTGAAATTTAAACTAAATATAATTAAATAATTACAATTACAAATACTGCAAGAATTTCAATTTTTTTTAAGTTTCAATACGACTCAGTAAGATAAAAAGTAAAGATCAAATCTATATATTGGAAATTTAAAAAATAAAATGTGTGCTATGTACTATCCTTGTAAAAAAACAAATTATATTATCTTTGTAATATAATCATTCCAATAAAATTACTATAATTTATCTTACAACGTAATTTCCAAAATCGATTTTACAATCGCTCATTTACAACGTAGTATCATTATTTTTATATAATGAAACAGTTTTACAAACATGTCATCCTTTTTCATCACACGAATATTAAATTATTTTTGTTTCCTCATGTTCGTATATTGTCTTCATTTATAAATAGTATATCACGATGTACTTTAATCGATACAAATAAAAATATAGAACATATTAGTTCAAGAACCTATACAGAACATAAAAAAATTAAATAATAATAACAAGAAAACAAAAAACTGTTTGTCTTTTGAAATATATTTGACAGACCTTTTTATATTATCATTTGTAAATTACATTTTAAATATATTTAGTACAAAATGTGACAGTTTTTATGTGTAAAAAATAGCAAGCTTTAATCCATACCATTAAATTCAGTGAATTTATGATTGTAAATATCCCCTGAAAAAATAATAATACTTAAATAAATTTATCAAACATTATTGTATTTTATATAACAAAGATAAAAGAAAACATTATTTTTAATGAGAAATTTCTTGTTTTATTAGAAATCATATAACGCATAATATATGAAAGTCTTACGGTAGTTTCATTCTCATGAAAATCCAACAGGTGATAAACGATACAATGACGCTAATAAAGCCAACACATATTAAAAGAATTCTATTAAGTTTAGGTGTCGAGGGACTATGCGTTTGATCTAGTACTATAAAGCCAATTCCACCTAAAGTAAAGAGAAAACTAGATGCCAGTCCTTCCATGATATATTGACCATTCACACGATATGGCATAAATGCCACCTATAAAAAATAAACATAATTGCAATAAAAGCACGTTAATTTAAAAATTTCTAAAACGAAGTAATTCATTTACTTACAGGTCTCGTATGACCATGTTCATCTGTTGTTGATCCTACACTAGGTGGTTCCACAATTACGTCATATATTATACCTTCAAAAAAATTTATTATCGAAATATAAATAATATTTACCTTTATTTCATTCAAAAAATTTATAAGAAACTGATATTCTATACAAGCCTAACCTCCAGTTACTAGAAAATATGACAAAAGTATAAACGAGAAAACTACCATAGCACTAGGTTTCACAAACCATGATGGTTTTTTCAATTTTAAGTTAGGTACTTCTAGCGCTAAAAACGGTAAACGGTAAATATATTCCATATTCTTAACAACTGAAAAATTGCACACGATACAACATTCTCACGTTACTTCGTAAAAACAACAAACTTCCACGCTTCCTATAATATTTGTAGATGGCAGTCATAATAATATTTTTTATTACATACAGGAATATGAAAAATTATTGGTTCTTGGAAATTTATAATTCACGAAATTTTTACAAATAAAAATGTTTCTTGAAAATCAAGAATTTATGGATACTTTCGTTAATATTGAAATACATGTTATAATATTTATAAAATATAAAAATGTAACTTGTAACATTTGTTTTTGATTACCTCGGAACATTAAAAATACAAAACCGTATAAAAATAAATTATATTAATATTATACTTAATTTATTTTGTGCAATGAAATATTTTATTCTATTCAGTATTTTTATTTTTTATCTATGATATTTTCTTATACATAGAAGAAAGAAAGAGTATGATTTTCTTTTTATGAATAAACGATTTACTACTAAAAAAAAATGTTACAAATAACTTTTTTATTTAATTCTGTGTAAGTATCGCGCGCACGTGTGTTAAGTATACGCGCGCACGTGTGTGTGCGTGCGTGTGGCGGCATAATTAGAAATGGATGACAGACTCATGTTTTCTAACCTAATTGAGTTCAAATAAAGTAATTGCAGTAAATCCCATGGATTTAATAAATATTTTATTTTACTTTCAAAATAAATAAGTTAAAATTTAGTAATATTGTAATTTAAATAAAAATTAGTTAAACTACAAATTTTATAATGTGAAGTGTTACTGTTTGATTAATTTTGAGTGGTAGATAATAAATGATAACCATGCAAGAGAACACACGTGTATCACCACGGATTTTTACTGCAATACAAAATGTAGACATACCTGTTTTAGCTGTGTGTTCTCACAAAGAAATACGTCCAATTTTACCATGTTTAGTTCGAATGAGTCTTATATCTCCACTGGATGTAACGAAAGAATGTGTAGAACAAAGAAAACAGGTTCTGACAATTTTATCTGGTATTGAATCAGTAAATTCAATAATTGCACTGCTTTCGATTGACTTTCATGCATTGGAAACAGATGTCCGAAAAGAACAACAATTAAGGTCAGTTGTATCGCAAACATCCATCTTCTATTTAATATTATTAAAAATATAAAATATATGAAGTGTACTTATAAAACTGCTATAATCTTCTTTTCATTAGGCAAAAGATGGGAAGTTTGCAAAGGGACAGTGTACTTGCTCAGTCATTGCAAAGTGGCCTTGCTTTAGAATTTGAACGCAGTGAATCTACTAGAAGAATAAGATTAGTTCTGAGTGAACTGTTGTATATAGCTTCTCAAGTACAAGAACAACAGAAGAACCAGGAATTTCAGATTAAACAATCTGATTTATTCGATAATGCAGTTTACATGGAAGAGATTAGTTATGTGATTTGCGTGGCATTGTCAGAGCTGCCCACGGTATTGTCAATATTGGATATTGCAGAAACATTGTTACACGTTAAATATGGTTCGGAAATAATTTGCTGGATAGTTGCAAATATCCCTGATAGTTTTTCTGAAGTTTGTGCACATTTAATAGCTAACGGAGAAAGACAAGAAGAATCGGCATTAGGCAGGATTAGAACAATGGCTTTGACAATGTTGTGTCAAATGAATCCAAGTCAAGCGTTGGCAGTAAGAGCCAAATGTGTAGAACTTTGCAGAATGCCTGCTTTGGCAATTACGTTGAGCTTGGAACATGAAAACATTAATAATTCATTCGCAGAAAGCGATATAGTTGCCTTTGTGTCGGGATTGTTACTTGGTAGTGATCAACAAGTAAGAACATGGATTGCAATGTTTATTAGAAATGGTCAAAAACGTAAATGGGAATCTCATACGGCGTTGCAATCTTTGAGAGAAGAACTGCTTAAACGATTGCAAACGATAACATCTCAAAATGCAGGTCAATTACTAGAAAGTCAAGTTGTACAAGCCAGTGCATTGTTACGTCTTTATTGTGCATTAAGAGGCATTGGAGGTATTAAATTCCAAGATGATGAAGTAACAATGATAGTGCAATTGTTAACATCTCATCCTCCTCCATCACCAGCTGGTGTAAGATTTGTTTCTTTAGGTCTTTGTATGCTTATTGCATGTTCTTCGTTAATAGGCCATCATAATCTTGAAAAACGAAGCATAGAATGGGTGCAGTGGCTTGTACGTGAAGAAGCTTATTTCGAAAGTGCCAGCGGTGTAACAGCAAGTTTTGGAGAAATGTTGCTTTTAATGGCAATACATTTTCACAGCAATCAACTGTCAGCTATTTGTGAACTTGTATGTGCTACATTGGGGATGAAAATACCAATTAGACCAAACAATTTAACTAGAATGAAGCAAATTTTTATGCAAGAGATATTCACCGAACAGGTTGTTACTTCTCATGCTGTAAAAGTACCAGTAACAGCCAATTTAAATGCAAATATTCCAGGATTTTTACCTGTACATTGCATTCATCAACTGCTTAAGTCAAGGGCATTTGCTAAACATCGAGTACCGATAAAAAATTGGATTTATAAACAAATTTGCAATAGTGTGCCACCTTTGCATCCAGTTCTTCCTGCTTTAGTTGAAGTATATGTCAATTCGATTTTAGTAACAAATAATAAAACATCGGAACATACAAATAAACCAATTACTGAAGATGAAATTAGAAAAGTGTTTCAAAATAGCGTATTTGGTGCAAATTTTGATTTTAAGAAAAATATGAACAGTGTCCCTAAAAATGAAATAGATAATATGGATATTGATATTTCAAAACCTTCTCTCACATCGCAATTACTATTGTTATATTATTTATTGCTATATGAAGATGTTAGATTATCTAACATGCATACTTTTATATCACAAGATAGAAAAGTTAAGTCATATTCAACTGAATTCTTATCAGAATTGCCAATAAAATATTTACTTCAATTGGTTCAGAGGGATCAAATGAATTACGCTGGATTATTTTCACCACTTCTTAGATTACTAGCAACACATTTTCCTCATCTTTCATTGGTGGATGATTGGCTTGACAATGAAATGATTAACATTGACTCCACGGTAACAAATTATGAAGATGTGAAAATTACTGATATCATGATTATTGAAACATTTTCACATATTCAAACGTGTCCCTCGAGAACGGGAAGACTTTTAAGACAATTAATGTCAACGAAACCGACTGATATATGGCCACATGCTGAAATTATAATTCATTATTTCAAAGCAACTATAAGTCCAAGAGTTCCTAGATACATTCAAGGTAATGATTTATTTTTTTAAGTAAAATATCAATATCAATATTATTAACACTTTGAAAATAATTTTTTTTACTTATCGTAATTTTTCAGAATTATATAAACAAGTATGGCTTAGATTAAATACAGTTTTACCAAGATGTTTATGGGTTTTATCGATAAATGCTTTGTTGATAGAAAACTCTCTTGTAAAAAATGTTTTTTTAACGCAAGAAAATATTGTGTTAGATCCTTTACAAGTATTGAGATGTGATACAAGAGTTTTTAGATGTGCTCCGATTTTATCTGTTATTTTAAGGTAAAAAAAAAATTGAGTAAGTTTTTAAATATTACATTTATTTATTAAATAAATATTTTTTAAGTATTACATTTATTATTAACATTTTTCTATTATCAATTGCTACTTAATAATAAATATTTTTAGAATTTTACAAGCTGCATTAGCAGCTTCTCGATCTCAGTTATCTAGACATATACAGGACAAACCATTAACAGAAAAAATTGGTCAGTTATCGAGTGAAGCTGAAAGAGAAGATTTAAGAATAGCATTGGTAGCAGGTCAAGAAAGTGCGGCTGTTCAAATATTATTAGAGGCATGTTTAGAAACAATGGAAGATAGAGAAACCCCTGGACAGATGTGGTCATTAAGAGAAATACAAAGTATAATCTGTTCATATTTACATCAAGTATTCATAGCAGATCCATCATTGGCTAAATTGGTTCATTTTCAAGTATGTATAACTAAATCCATTTATTTTTATTTTTGAATTAAATTGGATACTAATACACATATTAGAAAATTACTAATACACATATTAGAAAATATGTTCTTCGATATCTAGAAGTAACAAGAATAATAAATAATTCAAGTGATGAAAATTATTGATCTATTTCGTATAATATATATTACAGACTATATAAATATTTATTTTGTAATTTTAAATATTTAATTTAATGTTATCTTTACTTCTAGGGTTATCCAAGAGAATTATTACCTATTACAGTTGCTGGTATTCCATCTATGCATATTTGTCTCGATTGGATTCCTGAATTGCTATCACAACCAGAACCAGAAAAACAAATATTTGCTGTAGATTTAGCTTCGCATCTTGCAATTCAGTATGCTTTGCCAAAAGCTTTAAGTGTTTCTCGTTTAGCTATTAATACTTTGATAACACTGTTAGGAGTATTATCTGCTAAAGATCGAGTGATTTTATTTATGCCTGTATTATCAGCATTAACGCGTATATGTTTAGCTTTTCCACCATTAGCTGAGGATACTACAGGTTTATTGTTACAACTTGGTAGAGTTAATTCTGCACAAGCAGCATTGGGAGATAAATCTGCAGACATTTTATGTCAAGAGGTGAATGAAACTTTTTGTATGTTATTACAAAAAGCAATATTACAATCACAAGTATATTGAAATATTATTTTTAATTTCTTTGTATGAATACTGAACCTAATGTTTGATTCTATTACGGTAAAACAATTATCCAAACTACTCTAAATATCTTATAATATATTTTAAAATTTTATAAGATTGATACTTAAATATAAATTATTTATGTTAATATTTATTTGGATAATTGTTCTATTGAATGGCATACGCGCTAAAGTTTATATTTAATCAAATTATTCCAAAATAGAAAAGATGAAAAAATTAATTATATTACAAAATTATTTATATATATTGAGTCAAAATAAATTTAACTAGTTTATCACATTATGAGCTACAAAATAACAAAATTTAATTAACTACTTATTACATTGAGTATTTCTACTGTTAATATATTTATTCTTTGTAATTATTTACATTATTTGTCGGCTAAAGTTTTTAATGAATATTTTCTTATTTGTTAAATTTATTCTTTTATTTAATACTCGTTAAAATAAAATATTTAATCGGTAAAACTTTCATTATACAATGTTTTTATAAAAACAAGTAGTAATGTGACTGTATTAAATATAGCATTTTCTTATTATGTATTATTCTTTTTTAATAATCTTAAATTACTTTAATTTGAGTCCTAAATATAATATGATTAATGTTTTGTATATTTATAATTGTAAAAATTTCAATTTCTAATTTTTAATAGTAATATGTTGCGGAATTAAATCTCGTCATTACATTTTTAAGTTTTACATCTTACTTCAGGATTAATATGGGTTATTTAATAATCTAATAAAAGATATAATTAAGACAATTAATGTTTTAATTAAATAAAAGTTTCTGTACAATTTAATTACCAAAAACATATATCCATATATGATATAGTGTATATAAAATATATGAGAATGATATTTTTGTAAATCTACCAAATAAATATCTGTGCCTAATATATTGTACAATCATTTTTCATATTTAAAAAATTTTTTTTATAACATTGATTTATTTAGAATAAAATCTTCGATTTATCAATCATCTATATACATTAACCTATGACTATATCTAGAAGGATGCAAGAGAAATTAGCGATCTGAATGCAGGTTATATTATTATGTATTATGACAACATGGTATTATCGATAGAATTATAAAGTAATTCATACAAAATTATAATATTTACATTGAAATTATATGCATCTATAAATTTGCACATAAATATTTGTAACTAAAATTAATTTGGTTGTTTTTATATAAAAAAAATCGAATAAATATTTTATATTTTAATTTTAATTTAAAAGTTACAACTACAAGTAATATTGCATAAAAATTATTATAATATTTATCTTTCTTGATACAACTTTTATTCTATTGTATATAATTTGTATTAATTTGTTATTTTTAAGTATATATCAGAAAAGGAGATTCGTATTCATTCTATATAATTGTAATTTCATGATAAACTAATACGTGTGTTTGTTGACCGCACGAAATACATTCCTAAACTTATGAGTTTTGATTATTTAGTGATAGTTTGAATATGTCAAGTACAAAGCTTCTTTGAATGAAATATTAAATATTATCAAAATAAACATCATACATAAACGTGATGGAGGGTGAAACTATTGGTAATCTCGTTCAAAAAATGATCATTTCACTTTGTGGAGAACAGAAACCAGGTAAAACATAATTTCGAATTTTCTTTTACGCTTGAAAATTATTTACCAAATAATAACAATTGTAAATAAAACATTTTTCATTTATTTCCATTCTGCTCTTTACTTTTATTTTATTTTTTTATTGCTTCAAACTAAGCTAAGATAGAAATACACGTATATTTTTCTGCATAAGCAAAAACAAATTCAACAATTATATAAAAAAAAAGTTACTTTATTGTAATATATATAGATATATATATTGATAGATTTAATATATTGTATGCATATTTTTGCACATAATATTGTGTATATATATTATATATTATGTACATAATATTGTGTATATATATTGTATATTATCCGTCAGAACGATTTGAAAAGTCACATTTTATATTAATGATTTTTAGAAATAATTAGGAAATGGATGCGTTTCTGTCTTGGATTATTGTCATCAACTCAAGGAGTAGAAACATTACAAGAAGATGAAATTACCGTAGGAAGTCAAATAAGAGAAAAATTATCAGTTTGTGATGCAGTACAGTTTGACAAATTATATAATGACTTGAGATCTGGAGTATGATATGAATTTAATTTTTGACTCTATAAAATATTTATATTTCATAAAATTTATGATCATAATTACCTGTTGTCGTAATATTTTAAGAAATAAAAATAATTTTATAGACATATTTAACATATTTTGATTGAAAATGACAAGTCACCAATTATATATTTATATATGTTATCTAGCCATTGAAGAATAGAGCCCAAATTCTTATATTTTTGTTAAACGTGTGTCAATCGGCAGAACAGAAGGATAAAGTTTTTTCAGCACCTGATTTAAAATTAGGTTTATGCTCATCTTCCGCATCTACTAGTGGTAAACGATATATTTTTTTTATTTTTCAACTAATTTAAAATTTTAATGGAATTTAGAATATGTAATATTAATGTGCTTTATTACCTAGGCCAACCGTCTGAAATTTGTGCACCACCACAAATTGTGTCTATAAACAACTCGGACAAAAATACACGAGATTTTTTAACCAGTTCTAATAAAATATATGGAGAGGAATATATTTCGGAGGATATATTAGTTCAAGATCTTATATATTCTTTCCTAGGTATTGAAGGAAAGATATTAAAGTTAGATTCCAATTATGGTTTTCAAATAGATCCAATGATTAGCATTGATAGGCCACGGAAGCAAGCTACATTGAGATTAAGTGAACTTGGATATTTACATAATATAATTCAAAAAGGTTTAGAAAGAATGTCAGTTGCTTCAAATGGTCAAGTGGCCGACAGTTTTGTTGCAGCATTACATTCTGAGTTATCGGAATACTACAGATTTATAGCCCTTATTCAAGAAGAAGTAAACAGGTATTAACCAAAAGTATAATGCAAATATATAACGTTGTATCAGTTTATTATAAATGGTAATATGTTTAAATATGTAATAGAGTTCAATCTGAATCAGGATTATACAGAGTTACTTTGTCTCACTTGCATCTTTGGGCATATGATCCTTTAGAAACCTTAAAATGGCTAGCAAGTATAGTGAAAGCTTGTCAAGGACAAAAAGGTGGTGCACTAGCTTCTGCGGTATATGAATTTAGTAATCATGGTGATGCCAGTGTAAAAAAATTAGTTAAGAGGATTTTGCAAAGTGTCTGCGATCCTTTGTACAATATGTTGATAAGATGGATTGCAGATGGTGAATTAGATGATCCGTATAGAGAATTTTTTATTGAAGCTTGTGCTGATATCACTGGAGAGAGAATGTGGCATGAGAAATATCAAGTTCGCAACAATATGTTACCATCTTTTATTACAAAAGTGCAAGCTAAAAAAATTTTGGGAACAGGAAAGAGTATTAACTTTCTGCGCGAAGTATGTAAAGATTTTACTCCATGGCAAGGAAAACATACAAAAATGTTTAAAAGTTTCAGCGAGGAATATAAAGGTAATTATATTTAATAGTTTAAATTCTGATAAA